GGCGTGGTAGTATCTCCAGTTCAGGGATCTAAAGGAGGTGTTGGAACATACTCCCCACAGGTAAAGGAGGGTGGCTGTCCAAGCAGCAGTGTCCTACAGGTAACAGCAGCCCACCCACAGGCCAGGAGGAAAAGGGTCTTGTTAGACACAGCGGTACGGCATCACCTGAGTATGGACAAGGAAATAGGGAAGGAAGTGCAGTCTTCCACGGTCCAGCAGAGACCTCCGTAATAATGCTGCAAGCCCAGAGTCGCCACATTGATGGAGTGTGCCGGAGGGCAGCCAGGAGATGAGACTGGAGGACTCACCAGAGCCCGGGCACACAGAGCCTCAGAGCTGTTTTACAAACTGGGCCTTACGATGGTGAGAAACCACTAGAAGGTTTCGAAAGGGAAGTGAAAGTTCTGAAATGTCCGAGAAGCAAATCACTGGTATTTGGAGAAAAACTAGAAGAGGCAGGGACTTCCAAACCTCCCACACCTTCGCCGCGCTGCGCTGCAGGAGGAAGAGGTGCAGCTGGGGGTGGCCCCTGCTTCTGCAGTTTAAAAGTGAGGTCTGAGCTGAAAAGAAAGAGCAACGCGGCCTAGAATTTGAAGCTATGTGAATGGTAGTAACGCTTAATGAAATAAGGAAGGAAAGTGACAGGGAAGTGAAAAATAAGTCTAGGTGGCATCAGTAATTGTGTGTCTAAATTTAGATGCCCATCCAAGGGCAGATGCTGAGTAATGAGCCACATGTGCGCCTCTGGAGCTCAGAAGAAAAGCTAGAGATAAAAATTCGGAAGTGGCCAGCAAATAGGTATTATTTATAGTCGTGGAAAAGGCTTGGGATAGAAATCACCTTGGGAGAAATTATGTCTAGAGTGAGACTATGGCCAAGAACAGAGCTTGGGAGACTTTAACATTTATGGGTTGAGAAGTCAGAGACAGAAGAGTGACAGTGAGGTGGGAGAAAATGCAGACTTTGGTGACTTGAATCCCCCTGGGGGGAAAATTACTGAAGGAGAGAAAGAATATTAAAAGAGGAGGAGGTAATGAACCATGTCAGATGCTACTGAAGGATCACCGTGGCTGAAAACGGTGCTGTAAACAAAAGATTCACAGTCCAGGCATTTTAGCTCAGCGCTGGAAACGCCACCTGGCCAGGGACCAAACAAATAGACAAAAAAAAAAGGATTCACAAGAGTCATGAATGACACTCTGGGAAACCAGAAGTGGGAGTGAGGGAGAGGATGAAAACGGCAGAAGTAGGAGAGACTGAGGTTACAGCAAGTCTTTCAGAGACCTTTTCTTATAAAATGGGGTAAAGAAATGGGAATCATTTAAACGCAAGATTTTACAACATAGTTATTAAATGAATGAATAAAAAAATCTGAGAGGAACAAATGACTGAACATATCGGTAACATTTGTCTCGCTTTTAGTGGAAGTCATACGTGCTCATCTATTTTCTGATTTAAATCCGATATAAAAAGGAGTTGCTAAACTCCATTATATCCAACACACTAAAGTGTTAAAAATTTAAGGATCCTATCTTTAAAGACTTTTTTTAAAAAAAGTTTATTTTTTCTTGAAAACTAATAAAACACTAAAATGTAGCTGACAGCTATACAACCCCAGCAAGGCCATTCCTGCTGCGCGGGGGTGGGGTGGGGTCTCCTGCAGAGCCCTTAAGTCCTTTCAGGCTGGGACTCTGAGGGTGGTTCTCAGGTTTCTTTCAAACTCCGACCCGGGAGCGCCCTGCTGACCTCCCCGCTGCCCGTGCCCACTTGCCTGGGGGTCCGCTGTGCTCCGCCTCCGCCTCCGTCTCCTGCCGCCCAGGCGCCGTCTGCAGCCGGGCCGGCGCTCCGGACTCTGGCCTGGGCGCGGACCGGCAGGGTCCACGCGGCTGGTCTGCCCAGCGGAAGAAGCCGGCCCGGGCGGAGGACGGGAAGTTACCAAGGGGAACTGTCACTGAGAAGGCAAACTCCCCCATGCTTCCTTTTATTTGTTCATTTTTCTAAAAAATCCCCGCAAAAGTCCCAACTTCGAGACCCAGAGAAATCTGGAAAGGAAGACCCCGCAGCCAGCTCCGAGGCACCGGACTCTGTCGTCACCCCGCAGGAGTCCCTGATGTCCCCTGGGCTTGGGTGCCACATCACACCCCGGCTGGGCCTCGACTCCGAGAGCCCCAAGCCGCCAGAGAAAGACCTCGGTTCTCATTCCTCCCCCCCAGCCCCAAGACCCCGGTGCTGGGAACACGAAGCCAATCCAGGTAAAAGGGGGGTGGGTGGGCTTAGGACAAATCTTCCAATCCCATTCACACCCTAGGAACCCAGGCTGGACGTGTTTCCTTCTCTCTTTTTAATTCGCAAGCAATGCCGACTTGCTGCCAAAAAAGCGCCCTTACCAGGTCCCAGAAGAGAAGGTGGCACTTAGGGGAGCCCCTGGACAGTAAATTGGCTTGAAGGCCCATGCTAGGCCTCAGAGGCCTTTATAGATAAAGCTGAGTTATTTTCTCCTGGGCAACACCATGCATGGACCCTTGAAGGTGGGCATTGGCAGCTAGTAATTTCTTGGTGAAATGCTTTTTTGATACCAGGAATGGGACTCAGGACCTCGCGCTGGCCAGGCCAAACGCCCGTGCGTTGTCAGAAACACTTCTTAAGCACCGCACTGACACAACTTCTTATGCTCTGGCAGTTGTTTCCCCACTGCCCAGCACTTCTCCCTTGCCTTTTTCAGGTAAACAGGGGCCTCCTTGCTACTAAATCCAATGGATGCTTTCTTTCCTGGCTGGTCTTTGGCAACTGCCAAAGTGACTGCATCAAGTGCATAAATAAGCTGTACATCACAAAAATGGGTAAATTTGTAGGTTCTGTTCCTTTGAAAATTGTTCCAAAAAAAAATTTTTTTTAAATCGGAACCGGGGATCAAACTCATGACCTCGTGCTTCCAAGGCAGGTGCTTATGCCGCTGAGCTAAATCCCCAGCCCCTACACTTTCTTCATGCTTTACTAATTTTCAAGAAAATGTACCAAACATGCACAAATATTTATAGAGTGCCTTCCCTAAGCACTGCTGGTACAGTATGAACAGATAAGTGAGGCCCACATGTTTACAAACTTCACAGCCCAATCCGGGAACCAGACAGACAGGTTGTAAGGCAATCTCAGGTGCCTGAGTTGATAATGAAATGAGTGAAAGCTGGGTACCTGGGGAGTTATGTCAACTGAGCCAAATAGCTTCCATGACATCATGTAAAGTGTTTCTCGGTTGGGTCACATCCTTGGAGCTTATTTCATTAAATTGGTTTTTTCTAAGGTCTCAATCCTTTCTCTTCAGTTTATTCCATAATTCCCCCCACATATTTCTCACACACACGCATGCATGCACACATTCACACATGCATAAACAAATTACTTGAACATGGTGAGGGTGGCCTATGTTGTGGCCCCCAATACAATTTCAAAATGTATATTCAAGTGTACGTGGAATATTAATAAAATTATGGGGTATTTCTGGTCAGAGAGCAAGTCTTAACAAAGTTTGAGAACAACAAAGTAGAGAAAAGCTCTATCTGTACTATGCCTCCGAGGCCTGGGTATAGGACTTCAAATCCAAATTGCTAAGTTACTGACCACCTACCAAGGTCAGCCGTGGCAAACCGAAGGCATATATGCCACACTGTATTACTGAGAGCTCTAAAAGGTTCACTGTCACAGATCTACTTAAGAGTTAATCTGAGAATCAAAACCAAAGGATAATTAGAAAAGCCTTCTAAGTGTCCAGAAATAAAATATATGGTAACAGAAAGCATTGGATATTTCAATTTGAGTCTTAAAAATATTTCATATCAAAACTTGTAGAACATAACTAAAATCCTAGAAAAAAATTTGTAGCCTTAAATGTATGTTAGAAAACAAAGCCTGATATTCACCTATCTAAACATCTATGTACATAAAGAAATTAGGAAAGGGGAGAGAAGATGGAAAAATTAGAGAAAAATGCTTCTAAAACAGAAGCATTAAAAATAAGACCAGCAATTACAGAAATAAAAAATTAGGCTCAAGACAAAAGATAAATCCTTAAAGACTAATAAAATACACTACTGATGAAACCACTTCAGAGAGAACAATACCAGAAATAAAACAGCATTACATGTAGAAGATGCAGGCTATCAAACCACTAAACTCCAGTAAGCACAGAAGAAATAGGCATCTTCCATGGGTCTCTAGTGCTCCTGAATGTTTTGCTGGGCAATATCCTGATACTGCGTATCAACCATTGCTCAGGCTAGTGTTTACAGCAAGCAATCTTGAAATATGAAATGTTTCCCTCCAGGACAGAAAATAGACTACTTACTGCTTGCTATTAATGCAGTGGATTCCTTAGGCCCCACTCTTCCTTAGCTCTGACTACTGGTGTGGCATCCAGTTGGGCTCCTCCCTGTTCCCATTATAAGACTCTTGGATAGGAAAACCAATGAAAGTATGCTGATGATTGCCTGTTGTGTCATGGATAGTAAGATCCTTAATCTGATCTAAGAATTGTACCTTCTGCTGACATCCAAGTAACAGCTACATTATCGGCATAAAAGTAGAAGTAGCATATTCCTTGAAAGATAAGCTCAAGAAGAATATTCCAAAGTCAATTTCTGAGCCCAGCATTTGTGTATCAAAATTGGACAAAGACATTACAATAAAAAGACTAGACATTCCTTATGAACACAGATGCAAATTTCTAAACAAAATCTGAACAATTTAACTCCAGCAATATATTCAAAGGTGAACTATGCAAAACCAATGAATGTAATTTATCACTTAAACAGAAAAACTATGATTAGTTTAATAGGTACAGAAAAGCATTTAAGAAAATACAAAATCCAAGTCTGATAAAAACTCACAGCAGACTAACAACAGAAGGAAGCTTCTTCAAGTGTCTACCAGCAAATGAAGAAATAAGGAACTTGTGGTACATGAAAATGGAATGTTATTCAGCTATAAAGAGAATAAAATCCTACCGTTTGTGACATGGATGAACCTGGAGGACATCATGCTGAATGAAGCAAGCCAGACATAAAAAGAAACTGCATGACCTCACTTCTATATTTAACCTAATAAACCCACAGAATTAGAATTAGAAAGATGGCTGCCAAAAGCTGATGCCAGGAGAGATGGTAAGACACTGGTCAATGATCAAGTTCCAGGGACCCAATCTGCAGAATGGGTGGTGATGGATGCGTTGTTTGACAGTTGTAATCGTATCATGTATAAACATAGGCAAAAAGGCACACTGCTTACCTTGAATGTATTCTTAGTCAATTAAATAACTTTTTAAGTTTAAATTTAAAAAAATACCATTCTAACACCAAAAATATTAAATACTGAGGGTGAATTGAACAAAATGAGAGTGATCTACATACTGAAAAACTGAAATAGTACCGAATGAAAACAAAGACCTAAAAAAAGGGAGATATAATCTGTTCATGGAATTGAAGACTCACTACTGCTAAGACGTCAAATGTCCACCAAAATTTATTTTTTTTTGAGACAGATTCAATACAGAGTACAGCGTGACCTGAACTCACAGTGATCCTTCTGCCTCAACCTTAGTCCTGGATTATAGGCATAAACCATGCCGAGCCCCTAGTGGGCCTTTGCAGCAATGACAAGCTAATCCTAAAATAATACAGTGTAGTGGAGGTGGGTAACAGGAGAACAGGTCATTGTGCCGATGTTCCCATGAAGAAACACAGTAATTCCAGCACTTCAGGAGGCTGAGGCAGGAGGAACAAAAAGTTCAAGTCCAGCCATGGGAATTTATGACCTTAGCAAGACCCTATATCTCAAATTTAAATTTTTTTTTTTCTTTTTAAAGTTCTGGGAATGCAGCTCAGTACACAGCACTGGGTTCAATCCCCAGAATGGAGGACAGAAAGAAGGAAAGACTACACTAAACATCTTAGGCACTTGGTTGGTTAACACAAAAATCTTGAAGAAAAAACAGTATTCCCAGGTATTAAATTGTTTGTGTATTTTTTCCCCAGGTTTGTCAAGCAAACAAAGATAATGAAGGATGAGAATGACCAAGACAGCATTAAACCGAACACTGATTATCTCTACTTAGTAGCTTCAGAGATATGGCCAGGAAAGTATACACAGGTAGTTTTCAAGGCACTGGCAATGTTATATTTCTGAGTATTGGGCATGAAAGTCTATGCTTTGTAATTTTCTCTTTAAGTTGTACATATTAAATATCCTCTTTGGTATTGTGATTTCATAATTTTACAAGTTTAATTGTAATAAGTAAAATTTCAGTTTCACATATAAGTATATAACATATATTTAAATGTAATACATCTTTCTTAAAAATAACTGACACTGAGATTCCATCTCCATCCAGATACAATGGATATATTTAAAAAATTAAATAATCACAAATGCTGGAGAGGCCTCAAGGAAAAAGGAACCCTTCTTCATTGTTGGTGGAACTGTAAACTGATACAATACCATGGAAATAAGCATAGATTCCTCAAAACATTAAAAACAGAAATTCGATCTGACTTGCCCATTCCAGTATCTTCCCAAAAGCATTAAAGATATCACATTACAATGATAAATGCATACTCATGTTTATAGCATACACAATCTGTAATAGCTAAATCTTCAAAGCAGCCAAAATGTCCATCAACAAATGATGAAAATACGGTACTTACACCCAAATGAAATATTACTCTACCATAAAAAGGATAAACTTGAGTCATCTGTAGGAAAGTGATCACCTGAGACCAGTGTTAAGTAAATTAAACACACAGGCTTGCATATTGCATGGTTTCTCTCACTGGAGAACTTCAATATATAAAGTACAAAACAGACAATAAGAAATAGTGAGATGGACTTCCAGCATATGAGAAGGGAAGAGAACTAGGGGTGGGGGGTGAGATTTTAAAAAAAACTAGGAATGGTGAAGTACTGTGTACATGCACTGAATCCCTGTGAAGAATGTAATCACGTACTACAAGCATGTATAAATTATGAATGAAGGGCCTAGGACATGCAAGCGGGAAGGGATAAGAGAAGCGGGGTTTAAAAAATTAGTAAATAAATTTACCAACTTGCCATGGTGAATGCAATTATATACTAAAAACATGTACTGGTAAAAATAACTGGAACACACCAAAATGAATGGTGGGTTTTTTTTTTTTTATTTAAACAATGATCAAATTCTCACATTGGTGTCTTTTCTTCTGAAAATAGCAGTGATCATCACTATCAGCCCTAGGTTCAATCCCCAGTACAGAGAAAGAGACAGAGATAGAGGACACAGCAGGGAAGAGGAGAGAGAGTAGAGGGGGATGGGAAGGTGGAGAAAAAAGTGACAGTCTAACCGCTAATGTTCATCTTTAGGCTCTGCTAGTCACTGTGATATGAACAGGTTTTACGCTGCAGATTACTCTTCTGTAAAATGCTCTTATCTCTGTAGGATTACTGCAAAGAGACAATGTGTCAGTAAGGGAAACGTACCCACCATAAGGATTCAATGGCCTGCATTCTATTCCTTGCCTATGTCCCTGCTGTTTTTGCAGAGATGTGTCCAGGAACGAGCTAATTACTAAGGAAAACAAAAGTCAACCCAACTGGTTATTATCCACCCTAAAACACACTTACTTAAAAACTTTTAGAGCAAGAGATGGCTTCATTGTCTTTTACCCACATAATCTTTATTTCTACTCTAATTTTTATTAGCCATTTTCTGGTTTGCTTTAGGTTTGATTTCCTTTCTTTTTTTGTCTTTTTGAGACAGGGTCTCACTATGCAGTTCAGGCTAGCTTTGAACTCAAACTCTGAAGCCTCGAGTGGCCTTGAACTCAGTGATCCTCTTGCCTCAGCCTACTAGAGTGCTGAGATTACAGGCATGCACCACCATGCCCAGCTTCTGTTGTGTTTTAAAACTGAAGGTTAGGATACTGAGGTGAACACTCACTTCTTTTTGTTTTTTCTTCTTTTGAGAGAAGGTCCCACCACATAGTTCAGGATGACCTTGAACTCACAGCAATCCTGACTGAGCTCCCAAGTGCTGGGGTTCCAGGTGTGGGCCACCACACCCATCAGCACCCAAGCAATCTTTCGACAAGGAATGCAAACAAGATAAAACAATGAGGCAGTGAGGCTTGGCCTTCTTGCTCATCTCTGCAGATGTCTTACACTATATTATAAGTCTTGTGACAAATTTACGCTGTGTATTTATAAGTTTTTAGAAAGATTTAAGTCCTGATAGAAACAAGGGAAGTCGGTTTACTGAAAGAGTTTTTATTCTAAAAGAAAATGATCAGTGCAATCCTGTGCAACCAATGTCTTACAGAAATTGTTTTCTTTTCAAAAGTAAATGAAAAGCCCCTTGTAAATTATTTATATATTAATTTCTGAAACAAATCATAAGTTCTGCTTTGTTCCATTTCACTATAATTGCTACACATTTACAAACTGAAATCAAAGAAATGGACGGTATATAAACAAAATCTTTCAAAGAATAAAACTGCTTCTCAGTCTATTGTGTTTTCAAAGCTGAGTCTCATCAAGCCTGGATGAAAATTGTGAACCAAAAGTCATGTTTCTTTATCAAAAAAAGGACATTTAAATTATTGGCAAAGTAATATTTTAGAATGTATCTTCACCCAGTTGAGATTCTTGTACAGTATAAACTTGTATATCAACTCAATTTCCATTACTTGTTCTACTTTAAAAATATATACAACTATGATATTCAAATATGTAATGAGTCTTCTGTCCAAACATAAATATTTGGGAAATTCAAACTGCCGCACAGATTATGAAAAGATTAGAAAAAAAAAAAAGCTACAAATTATGTAGCAGGAGGAAGAAATGTCACTCAACATTTATTCTGAAGGTTTTCCAAATTATATACACATACTCTGATTAGCCACCAAAATTCAGAGCTACACAAAGACTATACTAAGTCCGCACTTTTATTTTTCTAAGACAAGGTAGCTATGCAGTTCAGGCTGGCCTTGAACTCATGGCAATCCTCCTGCCTCAGTTTCCCAAGTGCTGGGATTACAGGCATGTGCCAACAGGTCCAGCAACTCTTCAGAAATAGGTAATAGTGATGTAAAAAAAAATTGCACCTTAATATTTTCATGAAAAAGTATTTGTGGTAATAGTCTATGAAGTTTTGAGAGGTACAGGTTAAGTGAGTGCCCAATCTATGCCAAATGTGGCCAGATCTAAACCTGTTTAATTACAGTATAAGAATCTGAATACAACAGAATCCATGGGTAACCAGAAAAAGACACTTTACATTTACCCATGATTATGAATATGTTACATTAGTGCTTAAAACCTTCAAATCTAAGTATGAAGGGACGTTTCTAAAACTCCAGGACAGCTCAAATACAAGAACTCAAATATGTCAATCTGCAAAATCTTAAACTTCTTAATCCACTCATAAATGATGTAGAGTAGCTATTTGGTCTTCAAGAATCTTAAAGGGCTGAAAACATGTTCATCTCTTACTACTCTGTAACATCTAAAATAGCCAGCATGGCAATCTGAATTCATTTTGCTCTCACATCTGTGTGTGTGCACACTTTTAAGTCATCAGAATTGAGAGTTAACTCCTAGTGACGGTTAACTGAGGCCTAAACTGCTATTCAATCAAGGTTCAGGCATACAATAGTCTTGTTCAGGAGTCATCACCTCTGAGTGAAAAAGGGAGGGTAGCAGAAAAGCAGTTGCACTTTTGTTTTCCAAACAGCAGAAGTCTTAAATGTCCACATAATTTTGTATCATCCTGTATTTCTTTCCGAAACACCTGCACAAAATCTTATTTCAATCAGCTCAATCTATACAAGTTATAAGATACAAACACAATCTAAACCCTGTAATGTACAAATATGTACTAATACTCATTAGATGAGGTACAATCAATGAAAATTACCAAATAGTAAACACACATAGCATTCTAAATCTTTAAATCATTTTAGAGTTGCTAACAAAATGTGTAAAAGAAAAATAAAAACAGGAAAAAGAATAAAACCCCAAAACTTCTCAGCACATTGCATCCACGAGGATAAAATGTACGGCACTTATGTGATATAATATTTGAACTGTCAACTTAAACTGGGAACAACCTGAAGACAGGAAACTATATTAAGAGCAAGACCTGGCCAATTAAAATGCTGAAATGACATTTAACATTTTTTCTTTGTAAAAGCACTACAAATATAGTGAGTGCAGAAAACTAAAAAGTTTTCCCATTTAATTAATCTCCCTCCAATTAATAATTTTACCTACTATAGTAGTCTGATTTTTAAGGTCTATATAAACTCTATTATGGATACAAACCATTTTCTATGTGGCAGCCTTTGTAGAAAAACAACTGTTATAAATCATAGAACAAACCAAAAATCTAACATCTTCCAAGCAAGGAAGATATAAATTATATGACAATCTATCAACTAGAAATTATATCAATAGTAATCACATTTCTATAGAAGTGCCACCCTGCTCCCCCATGTAATTAAGCAGTGCAGAATAGGGCTTGAGCTGCAGTTAATCACATTTGGTTTCCTTAAAAACATAACTTTATTCACTATACACAAATAAAAGGCAGTTTTCTTCCTCCATAACAGATGTAGACATTAAACCTAAGGTTTTTAAAATACCAGCTACAAGAAAAATACTTTTAAATGATTAAAAGGAATCAAGATACCAAAGTTTAGTGTGTGAAGAGTAGATATAAACAACCAAAGAAAAAAGTAGATCATTGGTATTTAACATGAACAGCCCACAGTAAGTTCCAAAGTTTTTCCACCCTTACAAATAAATAAAGGTGTCCTTTCCATAGTTTGGGGATACGACTTATACATCTCTCCCAACAAGAGCAAGGTTTTAAAATGTTGCCAATTGTAAGTTCTTCAGTACCTAAAATTAGAGGACAACAGTATTACAGTGGTAATGGTGCATCCCTTCTCACAACGTAGTTATGATCCGACACGAGTTGTGGTGGTTCTTTTATCTGAGAAAAAGCTCTTCAGAAGAAATACCTGCCCTATGCTAACCACCAGAAGGATGAGGGCTTCTCCTACTGACCAATAGGCCACTCTTGTATTTAGATCCTCTGCTCGGCTTCGGCCTTGTGCTTCTCTCAACCGGAAATGAGTCTGATAGTCAATGACAGACTTCAGAGCTTCATGAATGGACACACAGGCAGATTCCATCTGAGGGGAGAGATTCTCAGTCAGTACGTGCAGTACTCTATACACACTGACATTCACCTGTTTCTTGTCTCCTCTCAGTGTCCCCGAGGACCACTTTAGTGGGTGAGCACCCATTCATTTATCCACTGTGCCAGCTGCCTGGCAATGTCACGCTTCTACTCACTGCCCTAAAGGAGTGCTGAGCCCAGACAGGCCATGAGGCAGCTGCTGCCCAAACCGAAACGGCACAGGCGTGGCCTCAGGGACATGGCAGACAGAACTCCACGCTAACACGGCAAAAACTCAGCTCACTACAGAATTTCATGCACAGCTTCTTTAAAGAAACATTAGGAGACAGAATTTTTGAATCTGAAAATAAATGACCAGAAAGGAATTCTTTTACATTTATCTATTTGCTAAATAAATCTCCCTCATACCAGTAACTAAACAAATGCAAGTTTCCAATGGGGTACAAGTTTCAGTTTCACAATTCAATCAGTTCATGAACCTTAATCTGTTAATACCTTATTCTTACACATTTATAACACTATTACCTTTAAGAAAGTTTATCTAATATATTCACTTTTCAATCAAATGATTTTTAGTTTTTTGAGTGGGTTTCACTGTCCAGTTCAGGCTGGTCTTGAAAACCTCTGCCTCAGTCTCCTGAATGCTGGAATCACAGACATGCACCACCATAACCAGATGTCTCTAACATTTTTTATACAAGAGTTCAATATTTTCTTTTTTTTTTTTTTTTTTGTCTTTTTCATTTTTATCGGTACTGGGGATCGAACTCACGACCACCTGCTTGCCAGGCAGGTGCTTATGCCGCTGAGCTAAACCCCCAGCCCCGAGTTCAATATTTTCTGACTGCTGTGTTACTATTTTATTTTATAAATCATGTATGTATTAACAGTTTTAAAAATAAATATGAATTTCTCTTAATTTTAATTAAGGTATAGACACTAGGAAATAAACATTTAATAAGGTTCTAACATAGTATGAAAGAAATAATTATAAACATAATTAAAGTATTTTTAAAAATGTGAGAAATTATGAGGTAAACAAACTGAATTTATCTATTAGAATACACAAATATCTTTGTTTTTTTGAGACACCTAAGAATAAAAAGATTGCCAAAACTGTGCTAAAACAAATGATTTCTAAGGGGTTAAAGAAATGCTTCTGGAATTTGTTTCTCATGTATTTTCAAATGACATGTGTCCCAAGGGTTCTTCACACATAAGAGCAAGAATTTGACAAAAATTCAAAGTAAGAACTTTTTGGAGCCTTCCAGGAATGTGGGTTAAGAACTTCTGGGTTAGAGAAAATCAGGTAATTTCAAGAACTAGTTACAGAGTCATAAAAGTTTTGAGGCTGTGTGCGGCATTCTTTTAAATTTTAAAATGAGAATTTTCTTACATACTGAAGAGAACAGAGAATACAATAATGAAGTCCATACCAATAATTAATACATGGTTAATTTTATCTCATTTACCATCTTTATCTATTTTTACTAATTACTATTTTAAAGCAAACTCCAGGTATTTTCAGGTTAGCTGCAAATACTTTCTATACTTTATTTCTAAAAGATAACATTATAAAAATATAACTAAAGTTTTTATAACATATAAAACTAATACAAATTGTTCTATAAAGTCATCAAATACAAGGATGATAGTTTTCCTTGATATCTCAAAGTTGTTTTCAAATCAAAATCCAAATAAAGTCAACACAGCCAATCAGCTGGTATACCTTTAAAAGCCTTCAGTCTGTAGGTTCTCTTTCTTTTCTCTTTTCCTTGCCATCTATTTGTATAAAAAGCCGAGTCCTATACCCTGTGAAGTTTCCCCCTCTCCTGGATTTTGTTGCCTGTATACCCAGGCTGTTCCTTATTCTAGGTATGGTAAACTGTCAGGTGGAGCCAGAAACCTGATGGGAATCAGCTGTAATGTTCTGGGTGGAAAGCCTCAGACCAGAGTCGTGTATTTCCTATGACATATTATGACAAAGCACAAAATGTCCACTTGTGAATGATTAGACTTACATGACACCAGTTTGATTCATGCAGTATATAGTTTTCCATCAGTTTTTCACCAATTTTTCACCTAATAGTTATCATTCCTATTCTAGATCCGTTTTATAAAAAATGGGTAAAAACTAGTCACAAACTCATTCGTTTATTCTCTATTTATTAGCTGGTAATTTTTTCCATTTTAAAATATGAGTAACTACTTTATAATATTTCTACTATATGAGCTTACTAGCTTTTTGAAAGTAGAAAACTGACACTAAATAAAAATGTCACATATGAAAAGCAGGCTACATGGTACTGACTGCTTTGCTGTCGATCATTTTGCCCACTTTATGTTTTTAGAGTAAGCTACTTTCTTACCCAAGTTAAAATTCATTACAGTGGAGATAGGTTAAGTTATAAATAACAGCCCCAAGGAAAAAATCATTTACAAAGAGTTGCCTTTCATGCAGGATCCTAAAGAGAACATTTCTAAAATTACTATACTAAGTCTGAATTAAGGCTGTTATACATTCTTAAAACTGCCTTTATACCTAAATGGTTAGCAAAGAAACCAAATGGAACCTGGAAACACTGAAAATACCAGTTTAAGGTTTTAACAAGATGGTAATTACTGGTTTTTTTCCTTGTGGTCATATGGATACCAGTGATTGAACCCAGACCCCTGTGCTAAACTTTTTTTGTTGTTAATTTGGAGGCAAAGTACTGCCAAATCACGCAGGCTGACCTCAAAAACTGCAATCATGGGGAATGAGGATTTAGCTCAGTGGCATAAGCACCTGCCTGGCAAGTGTGATGCTGTGAGTTCAAATTTCCAGTACCAAAAAAGAAAAAAAAAAATGCAATCCTGCTGCCTTGGTCTCCTAAGTAGCTTGAATTACAGGTGTGTAATAATAAAGTAAGTTCCAATGATGCTTTTAACAGTATTTCTCAGACGTAACCTAAGCTCGTATTGTATTTGAACTGGAGATAAAACAGCCCCTTTGTATCTGTGCAGTATCTGTTTACTGTATTAAGTTCCTTTCACTTTTTCTCTCATTAACCTTTCTTCAATATAAAACCCAATTTAGCTTACACAGCTACTTTTGTTAGATGATGTATCATTAATCTTCAGTGTTCTACCTAAGTTACAGCAAAAGTTATTGTAACAACAGTTGAATAACACTATGGTATAAAGACTGCTGTGCGGTATATTTATGTATTACTTGGGCATCATTTAGCTCCCAATTACATTAACCTACGGTATGGTAACAACACTCCTCTCCAGGTTATAAAAATGTTTCAGGACACTGGAATAGTGCTTAGGCTTCTCAGATTTTTTAATATTGATGTTTCTATCTTACTGACTGTTACTATTTGACTCTTAAATGTCCCTCTGAGCCCACATAAGAGGCGGTTGCTGGAGGCATGCCCTTAAAGGGATACCAGGGCCCAGCGCCCTCTTCTCTCCTACTTCCTGGCTGGCGCAAGATAAGCTATTTTGCTACTCCTGCGATGATGCTGTTAACCTGCCACAGGCCCCAAAATAATAAAGCCAGCTAACCAAGAACCGGAACCATAAAACCATGAGCTGAAATAAACCCTTTCTCCTTTTGAGTATCACAGGCACTTTCTGTCATGGCAATAGAAAACTAATAGTGATCTTCTCTTGTCTGAATGCTTTCTTCACAATTAAAAGTGCATCTTTTAACATTGTTTTTTACTATAAAAGTCTTAAGTTCTCAGTGAAATGTCTAATTTACTGAAAAATTAAGATGGAATTTGGAAACTTTTAACAACCTTTAAAACTTATATTCATCGATGAGTTAATGTATAGTATTATATTATGTTTATTTCTTTGCTGTAATCACTTCAACATTGTTTTGCTAATTTTTTATTTACCTGGGTAAGAGCACTGACTCGGTTTTCACTAGGAAACAAAGGTGGGTCTTCTCCAACTTGAAAATCAAAATACACAGTTTTATGTGTGAAAGTAGAAAATTCATTGCTGAAACAAAATTTGTATGTCCCATTTCTGGAAGCTGTGAAGGTAAAACTATCATACTGTTTCTTCGTCTCTTTGTATAACATTGTACCATCAGGATCTTCTAAGCGACAATCTACATCATAGTGACCACCAGTAATCACCTAAAAGAGAGTAAGAAACAAAAGGGAGCTCTGTAAGCAATAAGTGTGAGAAATCAACAAGTTTCTTGTTAAAATGGCAAAAGGTTGTTGGTAAATGACTTTCCCTATCACGTGCAATTACACATTTGTAAGTAATTTTACCAATGGATGAAATTTGGGAAGCACATTTCAGTTCAACCAAAGCTTTACACTGTCAACTAGACAAGTTTCCTTATGGAGAGGGAATTTTTATTCATTTCAGATAACTGTGCTAGTTAATATATGACTACTATACGACTTGATTTAAAAGCAAGCATCCATGAGATTAAATGATACAGCTTTGTTATTTTTGAGCTTTAATTCTCTTGGTTCAAATAATATTGACATTGTCCATTAATAAAAAAGATGTTATTTGTGCAAGCTTTTATCACAGGAACTATAAAAATATAAATATAAAAATATTTTGATGTTTAAAAAGGTCTTATCAAATTGATATTTACCCTTCCCCAAAAAATCATTTTTTCAGTGGAAAAATGACTTTGTTTTGATATACCCAATTACTCACATTTGACTGTATTTTGAATTATGCAAAAGGATGTGGACTCATCACCCCACCTTTCTTCTGTCAAACTTTTTAACTTTTTGGTGATACTGGGAATTGAACCTATGGCTTTTGCATGAGCTACATCCTCAGCTGTTTTTTTTTTTTTTTTTTTGAGAAAGGGTCACACTAAGTTGCCTGGGCTGGGCTTGAACTTGCAATCCTTTTGCCTGACCTTCAAACTATATAAAACAAATGCTCTTATATGAGTTAATATTCTTTTAAATTGTCGGTTTCTATATGACGAAAACTTGATTTAGTGTCAATACCTAGGCAAATGATTACAAAACCTTTGGCATCTTACTATCTCTCTCCAGTTCATCCCATTTCTTCCACAACTAATCTACAATATATTACTGTCACGAGTCCCTAAAAGGTCTTCCACAATTTAATCTGCTCTCCTTCTAACCCAGGATTTCCCAATCTTGGCACCACTCCCATTTTGAGCTGGATAATTAACTGTACTAGGGAGTATGTTGCCCTGTGCATGGTACCATGTGCAGCATCTGGTCTCTTTATTACTTACTACCGTTGAGAGCCAACAACATGCCAAATTGTGCATACTGGAGCAGGACAGCATTCTATCTTTCTTCACTACCCTCACTGAGCACTCATTTAAAACTTTTTGACAATGATAATTCATTGTGGGCTACCCAAAAATCCAAACCTGTTAATAGTGGCATACCTCCTATTAAACAGGGGTCAGAACCTCTTATGTTCATAGGTTTGCTAATTTTATGTTCCTAAATACCAGACTATCAGAAGTTCTCTGGACAAGCTTTCACTTTACATTTGCACTGACAGTGGAAATTTAATAGTGTTTATTTGCTACAGAAGAATCACAGGGTCCCAAAACACAGTGCTCACCAATCTCCTTTATTACAGGAAAAGAATGTAATTTAAAATATCACTGCCAAAGGCTATTTCACAAGAGGTCTAGAGATGTCAGGTGTGGCTCCTTTCTCCTCCCTCTGTGAGGTCTATGGCCAGATACATGTTCTCTCTCACACAAGTGTGGAAAGAACACTTTGGAAACCAAAACAGGGTGTTGGCTAGTTTTTTACATATTTTGCCAGTCCCCCAGGTATATATTCTGGCTTCATACCCTGTCTCAAGAGCAGAGCCCTTGGTGGCAGTGGGGTAGTGTGGGAGTGGGGAGCACTTACCCAGATCAGGTACAAATCATCAATCTTACTGTTGAGAAAAAAATAGGTTGACAAACTGGTATAAATCTCCCCCCAATTCTCAGATCAACAATCACAAAGCAAAAGTATTATGACTCAATATATTTCAGCACCACAAACAAACTACAGCAGAAGGGCTCGGCTAATTTAAGATCTGCTGGAATGCTCACAAACACACCTGCCTAGGTGTGCCCTACTGATTCTGTCACTTGTAAATTTGCAGACCTTAGGTGTTAACCTATCTCACCTGTGGCATCAGTAAAAAAGGAGTCTTACCCATTTTGTATCAAGTTTTCTTGAGAATTAACACATCTGAAGAACTTGGCATAGTATATATACATAACACAGCTGATTTTTTAAAAGATGTTGTAGTATCCTTGATACCCAGCCCAGCATTTGCACATGTAAGATTCAAGAAATGTTTATTAAATTGAAACAAAGGGAATTCTGGCTTACACTTAATATTCCCATCTTTTTTGTCCCCTGGCCCTAATTCATGAATTTAATAAACATAAGAGTCATCCTTAATCTCTTCCTTATCCACCACAGACAAACTATTACCACCATCCTGTTGACTGTAAGTTAGTATATTCTCTCCAAGCCTTTTTTCTCCTTACCCATTTCTGCAGTCACAGTCTAAACCATTATTTCTTCACATGTACTATGAAACATTTTACTCATCTTTTTTACCTTTGTACATTCCAATCCATGAAGCCACCAAGAATAATTCTGATCATGTCACTGAACTACTTAGAAAACCCCTGATGGTGTCCCATATTCAAAGGAAAAACTAAAATCCTGAAATGGTCAGCAAAGAATCTGACAGACTGGTCCTTGCTGACCTGTCTTCCTCAGCTTCCTGTTTTCAACCATATTGAACCTCCCTATGGTCCTCAAATTCTTAAGTGTTCACTCCACCTGTAGGGTACTCCCCATCTTCTATACCTAGGAAGAATTTGCAAAGTATTTACTACTCACCCTTTAAAGTTCAGCCTAAAATGAGTTTCTAAAAGAAACCTTCAGGGAGCTAAAAGGCCACATTTCTCCACTTATTGCTATTAAAATAGTTTTGATGAATGAGCACGTATTAATTAAAGTGGGTAGTAGGGAGGAAAATCAAGAGCTCCAGCAATGACCTAATCTGATTACTTCGGGATCACCAGGACCCAGCGTTGAGTGACCGCTCAACTGCTAAACTAGCCTGTCAACAAAGGCAAAAAGAGTAAATACCGTACTACCCAACTTAAAAAATAGCATTCTGTTTAATGAAGCTACTTTTTTTTTTAACATAACTCTTCTATTTCTATAACACTTTAGGCAGATGGGCGTTCATCCTCTAATGGAGTATTTCCAACAACAGGGACTGCATTAACCAACAGTCCTATCACCACTGGAAAAATGGAAAAGCAGTGGAGTTAGATATTGGCAGCAATGCAGGCTCAAAGTGGAGGTGTGTATTACAGAATAGGAGGATTGACACTGTGCATTCTGGAACAGAAATAACCTGTTTTCTTTTTTAAGGGAATCTTTCCGGAAGAAAACTCAGTAGGCTTTACAACAGAAGACAGAGAAGGATGGAAAGAAATGTCACAACTAGTGGAAGCACTTCCGTAATCGTAACAACCGATCTTACACATCTCCTTGCTCAAGGTTTAGAAAAGGTGAGGCAAATGCCCTGCACTGACTACACGTGGCGATTCTCGAATTACCCTAAGAATGAAGGCACACCAGAGGGAGGCCGCAGCCCCAACTCTGGGCCGCGGCCCGGCGTACCTGGAACTCCAGGGTGCACTTGGTACCCTGAACGATGTCCTCGTAGAAGCACTGTCTGGCGTTATCCGGCAGCTCGAACGTGATTTCCGAAGCGCCGCCAGGCCCTGGCGCCAGCAACAGCAGCAGGAGCGCGAGCAGCCTGCGGCCCCAACGGCCCGCGGCGGCCGCCCAGCGCGGCGCGGACCCCGGCCGCGGCATCCCGAGACCGCGGCGGCCTCGCGGAGATCCGCAGAGACGCGCGCTCACTTCTGCGCCGGTTCACCTGCGGGGCAGGCCTCGGCCCGCGGAGCCCGCAAAACAGAAGCGCCCGGAGCCTCAGGTGGCTGTGGGATGGGAACGAGCCGCTGGAGCCCGGGAAGAGGCGCCAGGAGGCCCGGCCGCGGGCAAGGAACGACCCGGGAGCACTAAGATGACCCGCTGAGAGCAGCGGAAAGGGCTCGAGACGGCCGGAAGTGGCGCGTAGCACCGCCAGGAAGGGGCGGGGCCTACGGCACCTGCCGAAGCGACCCGGACGCTTTCTTCTCCAGAGTGCTACGTGGAAGTCGGCGAGGCGGTCGGCGCGTCCGGCGCGAGGGGCGGAGTCAGAGCCCCGAGCGGGCTGGGGGGGGGGGGTGACGGGAGAAGGGGCGGGGCCTTTCACTGGATGGGGCGGGGCCCATGGCTAAGATCCGCGGACGTCCTTACTTGAGGATTTTCCCCGGCCTTTGTCTGCGAAGAGCAGAGTACGAGCGGGTCTTGGAGCGAGTAAAGGTGGCTCCGCTTTGCTCTAGGGAAATTAAGGGTTTGTGGTAAAGCACTTTGCAGTATTCAAGTAAGTACTTGCCAAAGTGCAGATTCTGGAAGCAGACCGCAAGAATTCTGACCCCTGACCTGCTGGCTCTTGACCACCTGTCTTTGCCTCTGTAGAAAGTTAACTTCGATTTGTAATCCTTACAAGGTTTCATGGTTTGGAAAAAGAACCTGGAAGAGTGGTTTGCTCATGTAGGCATTACATAATCCTATTAAATACAAATATCTCTATGCATTCGTCATCAAGTTTATTCTACCCTTCAGAAAAAGAAAATCCCTATTAAGTATTTGCTATGCCTGTTTTACTGATGAAATTAAGAACCAAAAAAGCATAGTAACTTTGATCATGTCACTAGTTTGTGTTGGATTGCTTAAAAATGTTGGTAGCGAGCGGTGGTGTTTATTCTACAGGGCATCATATTTTAACGCGTGTGTAACACTGGGCAAAAGAGCGTGACCTGTCAATCATGGAGATGTTGGACAAATTCATAGAAAAACAGATGTAAGTCCCCAACCTAGTGTAATCCAGAAAATGCTATCTTCATTTCTTCTGGTGCCATCAAGAAGATTTTTGATGAGATCCTGTATCAGACCATAGCCTAGAGAATGGAGCAAACAAAGAAAAGTATGCAAACAAGATAATTTGTTTCTAGGTAGTCAGGTGCGAGGAATACTAGGCCAGGCAGGACTATCATGTCTCCCCTGACTTGGTGCAGGTCATCCTCAGTTTTAAGCAGACCTCCCCTTCCCATATCACCCTGCTCTTGATCCTGTGCTTCTGCTATACTTTTCTCCTTACTCTGTTGTCAGAATTCATTTGCTGGCTACTTAAAGCCTGTCCTTCCAGTGTTAGTATACATGTTGCTTCTGGGCTGAATAGGTCAGTGGTAGAAGAGCAGGCAATTAGGGCGTAGCAGGTCATTGGGCAAGTGGGCGTGATCTGTCAGTCAGAGATCCAGGACACATGGCACACATGCACAGGAAAGCAGTTCCCACACCCTACATTTGTGACTAACCAGAAAGCCACTATCTTTGGTTCTTTTGGCTCAAAATCAATCAGGTGTGAGATATGATGGAACTAGAACTGATGTCAATTTGGACCTGAAGAATGGGGGCGGAGGAGAGGGAGCAAAGACATCAGTCAGTAATCTTGTGGTCATTGTGCTTTCTCCCTCTCAGAGTCAGGTATCACTCTGCAGAATATACTTCTTTTCTTGCCTTTAATAAGTGTAAAGTCCTGCTACCCTTTGTGCATGTTTTATCCAATTCTTTGGGACAAGAATGTGGCAACAATCTCTAGCAGGTGCCCGCTGCATCCAAGAGCCCTAGTAACAACACAGGAGAGCTGTACCACCGGGCCACATCTCTATCCCTTTTTTAAAATTTTGAGGCTGGCTCTCACTAAGTTGCCGTGGCTGATTTCCTGAGTAGCTGAAACTACAGATGAACGCTACTCCACTCAGCTTTTTTTACCTTGATAAATGAACATGGTGGGCTCTCGGCAACAAACGGTGAGTCCATGGCCACCAAGAGGTAGAAAGCAGGTTTATGAGAAGGAAATGGAGACAGTTAGGAGTCAGGCAGGGACTTGTGAAGCTGGAGATGGGGAGTATGAAACGCGAGAGGTGTAGGGCTGTTCCTTAGCTCTGGACAACCAAAGTTTGTCTATGTCTAAATTCAAGGAATAGTCTTCTCACCTTGGTGCTCAAGGATCAGTCAATGACAGATAAATATGGCCTGAAGCTAAACAAGACTGCATATAAAGCAACCCTTCAAAATACAAGTTCTCTTTGTTTGCAGTTTTATGGTTCCCAATAATATTATACCTGTAAGTGCATGTTTGAATGTGGTTGTATTAGTCATCTTCCCATCTCTGGGACCAGTCACCAACACACACATATGTAATGGGCTTGAATCAGAGTTCAGTGCCTAGTTGGCTGGCTCCAAAATAATGGACATTATGGCAGAAGAGCTTGGTGGAAGAATGTTGCTCACTTCAAGGCAGAAGGAAACATCGGTGGCAAGAAATATGCCCTCCAAAGTCACTCCTAGGCCAGTGTTCCACCTCCATCAGGGCCACACCTTCTAAAATCACATTCATTTATGAACATCATTGATCAATGGACTAATGTACCCACAAGTATTGGACCCTCATGATCAAGTCAGCTTTCCAAGAGCTCTTAATTAATTATAGTTCATGTTCAAGCTTAGCCATCATTTTGCCACTTCTGCTTACATCATCATGGTCACAGCCATTTTCTGGGCCTGGTCCACAGTGTGTTTTAAACATTTGGCATTCAGTTTTCAAGTTTACTCTTCTGCTTTCCCTTCTAACAACGAGCATCAAATGAACATTTTGACATTGTCCTTATTTATCATCTTCTGGGTTTGTTTTCCTTTGTCACTTACCCAAAACGTTGGTAGTCAGCATCTTTGCAACTTCCTAGAAGACATTTTTATTTAATACTGCACACAATTTATATATATAATGTACTACTTATTTAAACAATAAGGGTAAAGATCTTATCTGAAAAAATGTTGGAGATGGGTTTGCAGTGTACTATGCATCTTCTTTTGTAGGTGTTTAAGTTAACACATATATCTGCAGGCAGATACACATGGAATCATTGTAACAAGCTTGGTTCGGGATAAATTTGGAGGAAAAATTGTTTACAGTTTTCAGGTGATAAGAATTCATATAGTAGGGGATACCTGGCTCTTGCATGATTGTTCCTTAGTAAAAATTCATCAGATATAGCTGATATTTAAGAAAAATTGAAATAAATCAATTAATAATTCTTCACGGTTCATTAGTTTGGTTAGAGTTAGATAAGAGATATATACCAAGGACACATATCTGCAATTCTTGTAAATTCCTAAATCAGTGAGTAGTTCTACATATAATTTTTCCGCAATAGGCAATAAATTTTAAATTTAAAATAGATGTGACCTCTTCAGAACCTTACTGAGTGTGACGATCTACTTGATATTGAATAGAGAACAAAATCACAAGGAAATTCTTATGTTGGCCAGTCACATGAATCCTGTGTATCAAAAGGACACTAGTCCCCAGAAACCACTCACCAGTGACTGAAATTGAAAACATGAAAGGAATCTCCAGGACCTGGGAACCCAGTCCATTGTACCTCAGCGCATTAGCAACTGTCATAGTGTGACCAGATTGCCAACTTCCTTCAGAATTTCTTTCACAGTACAGAGTTAGGTTTCAAGCAATTTATTTTATTTTTAAAATTTTTTTTCCAAATTCATTTTGTTTCAAGGAGGAAAAAAAAAGAAAAAAAACTACAACAAAATTTCAAAACATGTGAATCAGGGGGCAACACACATTGTTCATTGTCATCCCCAACTCATTTACCCAGAGCACAAGACATCTGCATTCAGTTGTTCAAACAATATCAGCATAAACCGTTCTCTTCAGTGAATTTAGAGAAATCAGTGGTTTAACTATCTTAACTATTTTTATATACACACACATATACATATATTGTTTCTTTCAGTCTCTCTCGCTAGTGAGATAATACGATGTTTACACATGGGTGTCTTATTTATTTCACCGAGTATGGTCTCAAGTTGCATTCATTTACACATAAAAGTCTCTAGCTTATCCTTCTTTATGGCCGAATGCAATATTCCGTTTTATAAAAATACCACATATTTTTTATCCATTCCTCAGTTCATGGGCATTTAGGTTATTTTCAAGATCTGGCTATTACAAATTGTGCTGCTATAAACATGAATACACACATATGGCTGCGGTATGATGTTTTTAATTCTTTTGGGAAGATACTCAGAAGGGGAGTAGCTGGGTTGAATGGGGCCTCTAGTCCTAGTTTTTTGAGGAAACTCCACACTGATTTCCACAGTGGTTGCATCTGTCTGCACTCCCACCAACGGTGCAGAGGGGTTCCTTTTTCTCCATAGTCCCTACAGCAATTACAGTAACCATTCTTTCTGGGGTGAGGTGGAATCTCAGTGTTGTTTTAATTAAGCAAATTATTTTAAATTCACATTTGAAAAATGACTTTGTGTTTAGGAAATGGAAGTTTAAGAAATTAACAGTCATACTATGATCCTTCAGAAAATTCATTGTCCAAGAACGCAAGGAGCCATGGAGACAAACGTTTCAGGTGGGCAGTCAGGCCTGAGAGCTTCCTTTCAATTCCTCATCCCTCAGCTCACACCAACCGGCCACCAGGTGGTGCTGCTCACCTTTTAAAGTCTCTGCCACAAAGAAATGCATTGTTCTATTTGCTTCTGTGATTTACAGTAGCACAATTGAAATATTTAAGCAGAACTTTGCTAACGTACAGCAGAAGAGCAAAAGGGAGATGAAAAAAAAAAAAGGTTAGCGAACGGGTCATATGAACCGCATCAACAACTGCTTTTGGAAAGACACATTAAAGGAGTAGGACTTTTTCCCTAGGGCAATGCAGAATCACCCAAGAATTTTAATCATGAAAGAACACAATTAGAATTCAATTGTAAAAAGAATATTTTGGCTGTCATAAACGACTGAATCAGAGAAGTGCAAATATGGAAACAAGGGGACTGACTAATTGAGAGAATAACAATAAAAATACAAGATGGTAGTGACCAGAAATAAATAGTTGTCTGGTAGAGGGGGACAGTTCCCGGGATAGGAGCAAGCTGGGAGAGAGTGGGG